TAATTTTATTTTTATATCATCTGTTTGTAATTAAAGTTATATTAAACTTTGCATTATTTGAAACATTTAGCTAACATCACATTATTTTAATTTCACACCCTTATCCTAACCCTTTCTTAACCTAATATCATGTTAATTCTAATTAGATACTTCTAATTTTAACACTAAACCTAAACTTATTTAACTATACATAAAATTGAAAAAGGAAATAAAGGAAAAGTATATGAAAATAGAAGAAAAGAAAGGATAAGAAAAAACTGTAAAAAAAAAGAAAAAAAAAGAATGTGAAAAAATAAATGAAAGCGAAGTTTATAAATAGACTTTTAATTATATATTAATTATGTAATATAAATTAACTTATACTACTTGTGCTAATTTAATTTATTACTATATAGTGATAAATAATAATTATCACTATATTGTGCTGAATAGATATTATCTTAAAAAATATTATTTTAATTCTACCTTATTACTTATATATATTTAAATTTTTATATAAATATATTATATATTATAAATTTTTTTAAATTAGATTTTAAAAAAAAATACTTATTTAATATATAAATAAAACTCTGTAAATATATTTATTTAAATATATATAATATTTATTTTTTATTTATTTTAATTTATATTTAAGTATAAGTAATTTTTTTTAGATATATAATATATCTTTTAATTTAGAAAATTAAATAATATAATTAAATTTAATTAATTTAAATTGAATAAAACGTATTTAATTTAAAAATAATAATATAAATTAATAAATTTATAATAATATAATTTTATAAAATATTTTTTATTTAGAATAAATTTAAACAAATTTTTTAAAGAATATTAAATCTTTTAATTATATTATTTTTAAATTTTAAATATAAAAATATTTATTTATTAAAGTTTTTTTTTAAAAAAACATTTATTTTTAAATTTTATATATTTAAATATTTGAAATACTTTAAACATTTAATCATTTTTAAATTGATTTGTTAATTTGAATATTTTATTAATTAATATAATTTTAATTCAAATAATAAATTTTGTTATACTGAAAAATATATAAAAATGATATAAAAAGAAAATTAATAATTCTTTATATTAGTATAACATAACACTTGTAATAGTTTAATTTAATTATCCTTTATAGTAAATTAAAATAATTGATGAATTTTTTAAAAAAAAGTAAAAATGTAAGTTCAAAATTACTAAATTGGCATAGATTCTATAAATCAGAAGGATAATTATTAATTATTAATTTATAATTAAAGAATCTTTAATCAATTATTACCTGAAATTCCTGCTTCATAAATATCAACATTATCTAATTCCTCGGAATTGATAGTATCAAACTGAATAGATTCTATAAATGATATTAAATTTACAATTACATAATTCTAAAAAGTAACATTTTAAATTAAATTACCCGAAATTTTTGTTTCAGATTCTTTGGATTTTATAAAGTCAATTCGCAAAGAATCTATAAATAACAATAAATAATAATTTCTTAATTAGAATTCAAACATTATATTAAAAGGAACCTTTTGAATAACTCGAGAGCAAGGTTCGCGACAAAAATTAAAGAGTGTCACATGAATGCCAATGACGAAATTATATTTTACCTGATTCCACATTTTCATAAGATTCTGAAAGTTTTTTACAACTCAAAAGTCTGCTAGTATAAATAGCTTGTGGATGTGTTTGATATGAGAGAGAAATTTTAGCTGAATTATCTCGAGTTGTTGTATTTGCTTCTAATTCTTTACATTGCTTATAAATTTCTGAATCGGTTTCAACAGATTTGAAACTAGCATAAAAAGATTTAAGTTTATCTTTTATTTCTTTCGCACTTGGACGTTTCAAAGGATCACCATTCCAACATTGTTCAATTACATCTAAGATCAATTGAGGTACCTGATTGTTCTTGAATTGTGGACGAAGTCCGTCACAAATTTTAATCATTAAAAATTCATCATGAGGTATGTCGTGATAAGGGGGTAATCCGGTAAGAAGCTCATAACAAATAATACCATATGAATAAATATCAGATGCTTTAGTATATTTTTGTCCTTTAAATACTTCGGGGGCGATATAAGGTAATACCCCAAATACTTCTATTTTATCTTTTTTAGTTGATTCTTCTTCAAGTATTTTACACAATCCTAAATCACCAATACAAAAATTACGTTCATCTTTTACTAATATATTCCCTGAATGAAAATCCTGATGAATCATCTCTTGCTCATGAATCTCACATAAGCCAAATATTATCCCATCCAGATAACCAAACTTTTGTTCCCAATTCATGTAATAATATCTAACATTTAAAAAGTTTCGAAGACTACCCATTCTAGCATAATCCATTATCATTATATAATCTTTAGTACTGGGATTCTGGGTTACTCCATAACATCTTATAAGATTAGGATGATCATTTAATTTTGAATGGAATAAAACCTAAATAAATATATATATATTGTATAAAATAAATTAATCATCATCGAACGATTAAATTCAAAAAAAAAAAAAGGAATGACGTACCTCTTTTGCAAACTCTAATATCATTTCAGGATGATTTAAGGACTTCAAAGCTACTCGTTCATTTTGTTTGTCTCTGTACCAATCCTTTCCTTCCTTATTCCAATAGCTGATATATCCTCCTTTCCAAATTGCTGTATAAATAGTGCCAAAACCTCCTTTTGCAATATTCTTGACTTTAACAAACTGATTGTAATCTACCCATTCTAATACTTGCCAAAAATCTTTGGCATGTATTTGCGATTTTTGTATAAACTCATCAACGCGTTTATTTCCACTAGTCCAGTTTTTGAAAGCTTCTTCGAAACGTTTGGAATTGCAAAATTGACACCATGAGAAAGAAGTCTTAATTTGATTACACTCTTCGCATAATCCGTTAGTCCTAAGTGAATAATGTAATTCTGACGGAATGAGCTTATCGATTATTATTCGTTGTTCATTAGTTAAAAAACGATGTTGAAAATCTTTAATTTGAGAATAAATTTCAGTCGTTATACGAAATTCATCCATGACTTAAAACAAACGAATTAACTCCGAAATTTTATTTCCAACTCATTAATCATCTGATTGTCGTGTAACAAAACAGTAATGTAGTTTAAAAATGGAAAGGATTTCTAATTTTTGAATAGAAAAAAAAAAAATATCTAAATAAAATTGTTAAAACATTATTATTAAATATTTCAAAACTTTACAATAATTCAAATAATCATGGCGTTAAATTAATCATAGGCGAAGACGATAATGTAGAAATATTTAATGCTCATTCGATTATCTTAGGGGAAAGGTCAAAATATTTTAATGCCGCATTTTTTAATGAATGGACAAAGAAAGAAAACGATATAATCAATTTAAGAAACCGAATATTAAACCACAGATTTTTTTCTACAATTTTGAAGTGAGTAATAAAAGCTTTTTTTTTTTTTTTTTCCAAGACATTAATGAATTGATTAAATTGTAAAGATTTCTTTTTTTTTCTTCATAGGGTGTTATTATACCGGAAAGTATTCTCTCAATGACTTCAATCCAAAACATATTATTGACTTTCTTGTTGCTGCTGACGAATTAGGCCTTGTCGAACTATTTGAACCTATTCAAAGATTTATTCTTTATGATCATGTTAAGTGGGCGCAACAAAATATCATTAAAATTTATAACCTATCGTGATATCCGAAGAATGACAATTTTTCAAGATCACTTGAAAGGATTAATTAGTAAACAACTCGAATTAATTTTTGAATCGCATGATTTTAATTCAATGGAAGAGCGTCTATTAATTTCTGTTATAGAAAAGATGAACTTGCACTCGAGGAAACCGAAATTTGGAATTATGTTATCAAGTGGGGAATGGAACAAGAACCTTCAATTAATTCAGATATATCAGAAATAACGCAAGAGAATTTTGTGGAATTAAAATTTGATTACGTGGAGCGATACAACATAGATTTTTTACGCTAACTAGTGACGAGTTTTATGTGATGATTTGGCCATTAAGGAAACTTCTTTCTGATGATTTGATTGAAGAATATAATCTCTGTACGGGCATTGATATGCCTCCGCAAATTAATTCATTACCAAGAAGGGTTTCGAGATTTTGTTCTAATATCATCAGTTTAAAACAAGCAAACATTATATCAAATTGGATAGATCATGAGTACGATCAAAAATTAGGGATTTCTTATGATTTTCAACTTTTACTTCATGGTAGCCGCGATGGAATGAAATGAATACATTTCTTAACCTATGTTATCATAAGAGTCCTACTGTGGCTGTTATAAAATTAAAAGATTCTATGAAAATAGTTAGTAATATAACCCAATAAAATGGATATCCACCAACGATTCTTTTATATTTTCTTTTGATAATACTAAGTTGAATTCTAATATATTAAGCAGAGTTGAGAATGTAAATTGTGCGATTAAAAATTTTCTTGATGTAATTGGATTTGGAGATTTGCAATTTTTACCCTCTGAAACTTATAATCATCAATATTATAAAAATAGAATTATTCATTAAAATTCATTTATTATTGAAGATTATGAAGGTGTTCGAAATAACCTCTGAAGAATAATCAAATATATTTTTTTTTTCACAATCTTATCTGAGATTAAACTGCGCAATCCAGTTAGATGTCAGGATTACTGAATTTTTTTTTGGATTATCGTGATAATGAGATATTTATGAAGAAAGATAATGAAAATGTAATATTCAAGAAGAATAATAAGATATCATTTAATTAGAATAATAATGTAAAGTTTAATAATAAATGGTTAAAAAAATAATAATATATCATTTTAATTAAATGATAATGAATTATTTAATTAAAATTATAGTAAATCGTTCTTCTTAAATGATAACAAATTATTTAAGAAAGTCAACAATATATTATTCTATAATGAATAATTAATTCAGATACAAATTCAAATCTGAATCTGATAGATTAAATTTAAATCTGATTCTAATCTGATGAATCTAAATCTAAAGCTGATAAATCAGATCTGATTTAAATTTAAATTTAATATAAAATCTAATAAATCAGATCTAAATTTAAACTTTTAGATAATAAAATAAAAATCATTCTTCAAATAAAAATTTGTTATAATAAGAAATATTTTATAATTAAAATCAATTATATTAATATATTTCAAAATTTTCAAAATATAAAATTACTTTTAAAATCTGATTCAAATATTTTTTTTAAGATTATTTTATGCTATAAAATATTAAAATCAAATTTATCATAATAAATTAAAAAAAATATTTAATTAGAATAATGATATTTATTATATATTATTTTAGGAATGAGTGGTAATTAAAAGGTCTTAATATATATAATGTAATGTAAATTAATATATATATATATTATAATATAAGATTATTATAAAAATAAAATATATAAGAATTTGTAATCATTATTTATTTATAATTATAATTTCTAATTCATTAATATGTAAAAGCCAATTGTATGATTTTTTTTAGTATATTTGGCTTTAGAATTAGTAGGAAAATAAACATATTTATGCTTTTGTGAGTAAATTTCTTGAATAAGATAAAAGAGATAAATTTATAATAAATAGATATTATTATAATAAATGTCACTACTCTTACTAATCTGCATATAATAAATATAAATTAATATAGTCAATTTAAATAATATCATATAAACTATTACTAATTTATTACTTTATATCAAATAAAAAACTTTAATTATTTATTACCAAAATTAGTTTTTAAATTATATTTTATATCTTATTTTCACTAAGCTATTTAAAAAATAAAATATTTTTTTAGTTTTTTTTAAGAAATTTTATATAGAAAAGTAAAAATTTTATAATATTTCAATTTATAATAAGGTTTAAAAATCATAAATCAACAAATTTAGCTTTTTTATTATTTTCTAACTCTATTAAGTTTATTGTAAATAATATTTATAGTATTTATTTTTTTAAAATATATATTTTCACATTTTTCTTTAAGTTTTTTTCTTACATTTCTCCTTTACAAAAAAGTTTTTACTTATTTTTTAATTGTTTTTACTTTTAATATTTTTCAATATTAAATTTCTTTTTATTTGCTAATTTCTTTAAACTTTTATGCATATTTTTAGAGTATATTAATCTTTTAAATTAAGTTTTTTTTGTATAAAAATAAGCTTGTAAATATTATATAATTTTTTATTTATATGTTATCATAATGATAATTTAACAAATAAGAAATAATCAATTAAATAAAAGATCATAAAAAATAAAATTATCAAAAATTAAATTACAGAATACAAATAAACTATTAATTGATAAATAAATTACTTATTAAAAAAAAGAATAATAAACTACATACTGAAATCATCTGAATAAAATAAATTAGTTACTAAAAAGAAAAAGGTAAATTATTATTAAATATTAGATAATTTCTAAATGAAAATAACAAAAGAATTTTTAAAAAAGAAATATGATATCATAGATTAAAAAAAAATAGAATTAACAGAATAATTAGATTAAAAATAATAAAAATAACAGAATATTTAGATTAAAAATAATAGAAATTTTAGAAAATATATTAGTAATTATTAAAAAATACAAAAAGAATTAATAGAAATTACAGAAAACTAAAAAAAAAAAATTAGAAAATTATAGAAATTATAGAAAAGATCTATAATAATTTTATATAAATAGAGATAATAATTTACTATAAATTAATTAATCATATAATCCTATTATATAATAATAAAGAAAGGAATTATGCATAAATTTAATATTTAGAAAATGATAATAAGTTTGTTCTAAATCTTAGTATACTGTATTCTTCTAAAAATAAGTAATTTCTAAAAATAAGCAACCCCTAAATTAACTTAATACTCAAAAATAAGCAACTTAATTAAATTTTATAAAATACCATATATAAAAAAAATTTATTTTTAATGTTTCAATATACAAATCATGTTAAACATAATCGTTAATATTATCTTAATATTATTTTCGATATCATCATTAATATCATTACCACTATTGATATTATTACTACTATCAATATTATCTTCTCTAAATCAGAATTCAAATCAATTGATATTTTACAAGTTTTAAAAGATTCTATAATAATTTTATCAGGAATTCTTTCTCAAGACTTTTTAACTTATGAACATATATCACTAAATCTAGCGTAATAAAAGTTTCTCTTAGCAGTTTTTCCAGCATCACTATCAGCTATCCAAATATGTCATTTTTTATGAAGATTATTCTTGAATAATTTATTTATTGCAACATTCAGTGACTAATAAAGGCTAATCAATTCACCTGAAATTACTGCAAGATTAAAGTCAATTTCATGAAACTTTCTTTTTACTAATTTTCCAAATGACCTTTAAAAGAATTATATACAAACATTACTGGATTTCCTTGAGACCTGTTTTTTATTCTTATATCATTAAGATAATCTATATATTTTATTATTAAATCAAAGTCTATTCAACCATTTTTTTGAAATTAAATAATAATACTAGAAGGAATTTATTCTTCGCATAGTATTCTCTTTCCTTTAAAATATATATTAGAGAAAGTTTGGTTCCATCTATAATAATGAATCAATAGTACTAGTGAGTAAATTTCGATTTTATAAAAAAAAAGAAAAGCTTACCTGCAGTACATATAAGTATAACTGTAAACCTATTTTTTTATAACTTATTATGTGAATATAGACTGTTTTTTACCTTTTAGATTAATAGTAAAATTACCAGTCATATTAAATCAAACAGGTGTTTCATTCATATTATAAATATTTCTTAATTTAAATAACTTTTCAATTCTTAGATTAATAATAAATTGGTAAATCTTTTCTAATTACTCTTTAGTTTGATTAGAAAGCTTCTGAGATATTCTAGTTCTTTTTCATAATGCTAATTTATATATTTTCATAAAAGCAATTAACCAACGATAAGATGTTTTAAAATTTGACTTACTATAAAAATCTTCATATTTAGTTCTTTTAAAATTTCTAGCATTTATTACATAGGTAACTGTGAGATCTTACTTTCTTTATTCTATAATCCATTTATAAAGCCTCTTCTCAGCTTTAGGATAAAAAGGCTCCTCGTCCAGAACTAAGCCTCTTACTTTTTTCTTTTGTTTCAATTGTTCAATTTAATCTAGCAGCTACCTAATATCTTATCATGCTACAATTGATATCAAAGTGCTCTGCCGCCTTAATATAATCATATTCTTTTATATAGGTAATAACTTATATTTTATTTAATAGAATATGAAGTTCATATACGCTTATTAACTCTTATAATCTTTTGTTTAGCAATTCATTTTTTTATAGAATGTGGCATTTAGTTGAATAAAAAAATTTTTTGTGATTTTACGTGACATTGATGATTAACACGATCAATAATCACAGGATTTATTGACAAATTAGCAGATTTTAGATTATATATCGTAAGTTAATCAAATATATCTGAAAATAAGCAACAATATAGCAAAAATATATTGCTTATTTTCAGAAGAATACGGTAATTAATAATTTATAAATAATTAATTCAAAAATTATATTATAAAAAAATTTTATTTTAATAAATAATATTTCTACATAAATGATACTTATATAACTATCTCTTTGATATATTAAAGTTATAAATAAATTATCAAAATATCACTTGAGTATTTACTACTTTGCTTAATAACAAACTGAAAACAAAGGAAAATTAAATAAATTCTACTAATATAAAGGAAAATAGAATAATAATATAAAATAAAATTTAAAGATAAAATAGATTACAATAAATAATTAAATAAAGGTTTAAAACTTAGAAAATAAAAGAATAAAGTAAAAAAATAATAAAGAAATATATCTACAGAAAATGAAGATAATATAAATATAAAAAATAAAGAATATACAAATATTAAGGAAATAATTGAATATGAAAATACTAATAATAATTTGAGAATTTTTAAATATAAAATAATAAATAATAAAGTGAGAAATATAAAAAAAGAAAGATATAAAAAATAAAAAGCTATTAAGTTTAAAGATAATTACTGATAATATGAAAAAGATCACATTAATAGATTCTTAAACAAATAAAAATTAATTTATAAAAATAAATTCTCTTAAAGATAAGTAGCAAAAAAAGTTCAAAAGATACAGCTTTTATTAAAACTAAATTTAGAAAATATAGATAATTTATATAAATAATATTTCTATGATTATAATATTTTTCTTCTTCTTTATTACTTATTTTAATACTTAGCTAGACTTTAGTAAAAATTCTGAATTAATCCTATTAATATTAAACTAATTAGTATTTTTTCATAAAATAGAAAATCAAAAATAATTTACTTTATTTGATCTTTTATATTAGATTGTTTAGTAATAATAAAATACAGGGAGGTGAAATAAATATTGAATAATTTTTATTTGATGTTTATTTATATTTATTTGCTACAATAAATTCATATAATATATTTAATATTTAGTATGACCTCCTTTAGCAGAAATAACTGCATAGATTCGAGAAGGCATTGAATTAATAAGTTTTCGATATATTTCTTCAGGAATCAACTCCCATTCTTCAATAACCATTTTTTCTAACTCTTAGATGTTAGATGCTTCAGGTTTACGTTTTCGAAGTCCAGACTCAATAATTGACTAAAGTTCTTCAATAGGATTAAGATCAGAACTCTGAGGTGGTCATAACAAATATTCTACTTTACTTGAAAGAAGAAAATCTTGTGTGATTTTTGCTGTATGCACTAGTGCATTGTCTTCTTGGAAAACAAGCTTTTTTTTGACTTTTTGTGATTGTTCTTTAAGGGTTGATACAGCATAAATTTCAAGGATTTCACGATAGATTTTACCAGTAATAGAACCAATTAATAAAATAATAGGTCTAAGACCAAACCATGAAAAACAGCTCCAAAACATTCGTTTGGAACTGTGTTTTATGGTCAAGGTGATACAATCTTCATTAAATTCTTCTTCAAATTTTTGCCAAACTCGACCCCAACCTGAGGGTTGAAACTGAGAAAAGGTAGATTCATCTGACCAAACTACTTTTCTCCAGTCAGCCATTGTCTAATTTTTATGCTATTCCACGAAAGCAAGTCTTTTGATTTTATTTGCAAAAGAAATCAATGGTTTTGGACGAGGCATGCATGATCGAATACCTTCTATCCTTAATGCTTTTTGGATGGTTCGCTTGGATACTTTTTCACCTTTATTTTGTTTTATAAAAAGCTAACAAACTTCTTTTAAACTTTGACGCCTAGAATCTTTATTATTAAGAACAGCTTTTGACAATTTTTTTCGTTTTTGCACAGTCATTATTTGGGGATGACCTGATTGTTTATTAATAGTTTGATTATTTTTTAACACTTGAGAAACTGTTGCCTGAGAACACTCAGCAATTTCTGCAGTTTTTT